TTATTTTATAAGGGGACGAAGTCCACTATTACAGTAGAAAAATCAATAAAACAAAAACAAAAAAAAACAAAAAAACGGGAAAATTTCCCGAAATTTTCATTGTACTAATGAACTCAAAATCGTTAACTTTTTTTTATTTTCCCGCATCTGCGCAAAAATCTTTTCCGGTATCGTTTAGGCTCGGGATTTTAGTAAAATGTTATGGGGACGTACCTTATAACAGTAAGCAAATCAATAAAACTATCAAAAATCAATATACTAATAAAATCATAATCGTAAACGTTTTTCTAACTTCCAACAGCTGCATTTTCACTGTTCCGGTTCTGCTGACGGAAGATGCCATGTAAGTCACAACGATTTCCCGAAAATTTATATTTATGAATACCAAACAGAATATGGACAACCACACAATAACAATTAAATTTGTATCCTTTTAATGTCCTTTTTAAATTCATGGTAGACTTTTCTTTAATTTTATTTTGTTATTCGTTTGATATTTAAAGAAAAGACATAAAGATTCAAAAATGTATGAAGTCATTATAACAGTTGTCAATAGGTCATCGCCCTGATTGAGGATCATTTTAACACTTGTCGGTCATGATACAGTTCCGCTCCTTAACAACTCGAAACTCGAAACTGGTCGATGCTTCATAAAAACTAGTCTTCTTGTTTACATTAAAATAACAGCGTTTTCCGTCCTTTTTACCATTTAAATGTACAATTTTTTAATTCAGATTTTGATGTGATAAAAAACGTTACCTGAGCGTTTCTTTGTTTACATTGCAAATGACGTCACAACTTTTAAATTCCCTAACAATAGGACCAACATCGGAGACGTTTCCGTATTTCCTTTTCTTTTCCAACATATTCTGAAGTTAAAATATTCCTTTAGTTCTCTGGGGAAACTCATCGCTGATCAATCAGGCAGGTGTTTGCATTTGTACAAAGATCCGTAATAAGCAGTTAGTAATCATCAAACATCTGATCGATAACTGGATACCATAAGAAGAAGTCGACTTTGTATGTTCTGTTATCTGAACATACAGGGTTTTTTTAAAACCAGGGATCTCACTTTTTTGTGTATACACTGGCAAAAATGCCACACGTGTGTACATGCGTGACACATGCGTTTCACATGTGTGTCACACGCATGTGAAAGAGACGTTTCATGCCACGCATGTGATACATGTGTGGAAAACACATGTGATACGCATGATACACACATGTGATCATGCGTTTCACATGTGAATAACATGCGTAAGGAAATACACCTGTGATACATGCGTGATTACTGCATTTAAAAGGCATGGTGTCTGTATTAAATATTTTTCAAAATGTCCTCCTATTTGTCCAATTACCATGATTGTTGACATGTATCTTAGTTCTCAAGTGAATTACATGCGTTTTGTAACACATGCGTTATACATGTGTTTTCTATATATATACACAGGCAAATTTTGTGCACGTAAATTGTGAGATTCACCTCAAACAAGCTTATACATGAAACTCATGTGCAATTAATGTGAATTGAGCTTTAACGTGAAATTCATGTTAAATGTTTCATGTGAAACTAACGTGAAACAAGCTTTCATGTTAATTTTTCTAAAATGAAATTAAGGTGAATTCCCGTATGAAAATTTCAACAGGAGTTCAACTGGACTCTAGCTGGACTTGAGACGTATTCCAGTCTGACTTTGAAAAGTCCAGTCTGACATGAGCCGTACACGTACTTTTTCTTATACTTGGGTTATTTGCCAGCCGGTATTTTCTTAAAAGTCCAACCGCACTTTTTGTAATGCTTACAGAAAAATAAACACGGCTGGACTTTTGAGAAAATTTATTCCTTTCTGTAGAATGATCAGCAGGATTTTTGTCTTAGAAAATTTTACATTCATTTATGAGCAGGAATTTAGACTTAGAAAATTTTCATCAGCCAAATCTACCCTTACAGAAATAAAAAGTTTGCCACAATAGATTCTGTTCTTTGAAAGGAACAATTCTTTCAAAATGTAAAACAGTTAAAAATGGGAGTTTGCAAGTAATTAATAATAATGATAAAATATTTTTTTGCAATATACTTTTAGTTCAAACTATAAGATGTGATACTTTCCCTAGATTTTCAATTCCATTTAGGGCATTATGAAATATTTAACATAGACTGTTGATGGAAAGTTAAAATTTAATATTTGTGACTTTTGATTGAATTATAGTATCCAAGTTAATATGTTTAATATACAGCAATTATTTAACATTTCTATTTTTTTCATAAAAAAAAAAAACACTTAAGCAACATCTGTTACAGGTCAAATTTTTACATTTTCTAGTATATTTATATTTAATTAGATGAATGCATAAAATTAATAATTATCATTCATTCTTTAACATCAATTAGAAACTTGAGCCATATAACAGTGATTTAATCATGTTAATAGAGCAGTTAGTTTTGTAGAAATGTGCCATCTGTTTTCAATTAACCTCAGTCTGGCCAGGTCACAGGAAGTACTATCTCCACAGAGATTGAGGCCATATGTGGGAGAACACATTTCGAAATACATATTTCTGCAATTACTATCACTTTTATTAAAAATTTCATAATTAAACAAATTAATAATTGATTTTCTTTTTTTAATATATCACATATTCAAAATAAAGGCACATGCAATTAGATATAAGAGGAACATTTAAAACAACTCCTTAACATGTTAAACAACCTCATGTATTGCAATACAACATTTGAATTTGGAATAAACAGGAAGATGTGTCTTCTTTCTTGAACAAAATGAGAATTTTATATCATTGGATGTAAAGCAAATGTTTGGAAGTAGTTCTTTTCATATTGACATTAAATAGAGAAGATGGATCATTCTAACTGGCATCAATGACAATTTAGGAAGATTGCTGTTTGCATGTGTTTTGGATTGCATAATTCTGGTAAGTACAATAAATTGAATTCCACCATTTTGGTGATATTATCTGATATGCTCTTTTTATTCAACATATTAATAAAATAATTACAATATTATAAATAGCTTAATTCTTATTTTTGAAGAGTAAAAAGAATAAAAAACCTACATCAAATATTTATATTCATGCAATAATTTTCATCTTGACTGTTATGTCACTGTCACTTCCTGTTTTGAATTGTTGTGTAAAAAAATGTATTGTTATATTTTTATTCCCTCTGTATTAAGGAATGGTTATTATTTGAGTTGTTTTTAAAGTTTTTTGATTTCTACACTTTAAGTGATTTTGAAAGCCAACTTTATTTTATTTTTAGCCACTTTAAAATTATTTAGGCTATTTAATAACCACAAATTTTTAGAAGTTATCATTTAGCTTCTCAATACCCCATTTCTTGGTTTTGCCAGTAAGACAGTACAAAAAAGAAAAAGATATAACCAGTATATATGCATAATGTCATCTGTTTTTTTTTCTATTTTCAGATTATAGCAAGGGATGCATGATGCAAATTAAATCGGAAGAATCAACCATCTAAAGAAAAACTGAGCAGTGGTGGATCCAGGGGGAGGGTTCTTGGGGTTGGAACCCCCATTATTTTGACGATCAATGCATTTGAATGGGGACATATGGTTGGACCCCCTCGCCCTATCCTGAGTTAGGAACCCCCCCTTTTGAAAATAGCTGGATTCACCCCTGCTGAGATCATCTTTAAAAGTCAAACCGCACTTTTTGAAGTTCAGCTGAACTTTATAGAGTTCAGCTGGACTTTTTAAAGTTCAGCCGGACTTTGTAAAGTCCAGTTGAACTTTATAGAGTCCATATTTTTGCCAGAAATGCTGGCTGGAATTTTTTTCAGACGTACTTTTATTAAAGTCCAGCTGGACTTTATGAACCGGACTCCTGCTAATTTAAATATTTCGAGCCGGTTTACGGCTAATTTCGCTGAAAGTCCAGCCGGGGTATCTATTATAAGCAATTCAAAGAAAAGTCCAAATGAATATTATAAGTACGGTTCTCAGTACGGCTACAGTACGGCTTCTGTCCGACTGGAGTACGTGTCATGTTTTTCATACGGGTTGAGCATCAATCACACAAATTCACAGTATTTGAGCATATTTTAGATAAGTTAATGCTAATCTAGTACACATTCTATTTTGATATATATAAATATTCTTCTTGGTCTTGACTATGTGTTCATACTTCCATTATATTTTACTTTCTTGATCCTAAAGGATACAAAAAATATTTATCTATCAACTCCCAACTCACAATATCTCCAATGCAAGAGATAGGATGCAATAAAACAAAGAAGGCAAGCAAATATCCAGGTCACCTTAGTTCACTCCTAGAATTTTTTCGGTTATGGTCAAGTCTCAATACTTTTTTTTAAAAGTGATGTAAGGATTGGTGATTCATTTATAGAATATGTATGCACTGATGTGTATTTCATTTTTAATATGTATGTATAAGTCTTTTTGTGGTTATCAGTCATGAGACAATGCAATCACATTGTGGAAATTGTCTCACTTGCAAAAGATGCCAATTTTTCTTTTGAAAGTTTTTAGGAAAAAAAGTAGTTCACCCTGCCACATATTCATGTGCCTGTTTCAAGCCAGGAACCTTTTCAGTGGTTGTCTAAAGTCTCATCCTAATAAAAAAAAATATTTAAAGAATTTGGTGTTGATGGAAGCTCTTTGATTGGTATAGACTCTGGTTAATTAAGTAGATCATGACATATACCATATTGAAAGTCTTGCTGTTATTTACAACCATTTCCTTCTTATTTCATAAATGTATTTCAGTTTTTTTCATTTCAACACCAATCTTAATAAGGTTAAGGCAAAAAGAAAACAAATGTTGACAAACAACAGGCATATACCATTAGAAGATCTCAAAGATTGGCTGCACAATAGACTAAAAATTCTTGTTATTTCAAATATTTATATAAAATTCAGTATAAACATGCATTTTCCATTTTTAGATTAAAATTGTCATGTTGACACAATAATTTGAATTTGAATTGTATAAATATTCTGAGAGTACTTGTGGTTGAAATAATATACACAATATTTAATTTCATGTGTTTTAGATTTCTTAAATACACCACTCCCATATAATGACTACATGTCTGTTAGTAATGTTTAAGAGTTCTCTCCTGCATGTAATTGCTGGAATTGCTATTTGTACCCAAGGCTTCCTTCATACATTTGCACTTATCCTTCTAAGATGTTGCTTGAATGATAAAATCCTGTAATACATTATCAGACATCAGACTCTTGTAATACAGTTGCTGTAATAAAAAAAATAAACTGTAATCACAGAGATATGTCTCGCTTTTTAGTAATTTCGATAATGCAAATGTTGAAATTAAAATAGCAACACTTTAACATGTAAGATTTGCAAATATTCAAAGTCAATGAACCATGACTAAAGGTACATGGCTAAACAATCTCCATGGAAATTAGATGTGCCAATGCTAATACAACGCATACCAAATACCATTGACTTATCATAAGTAGTTCCCTTTAAAAAACCTAAACACAAACTAATACATGTAAACTAAGAAAATTTTAAAGTCAATAAACGATAAGGGGGGAGGGGGGCAAATAATCTCCATGGTAATGAGATGTGCCAATGCTAATACAACTGCATACCAAATATCATTGACTTACCACTAGTGGTTTCCCATAAGCCGACCTAATCACAAACTAATACATGAAAACTAAGCAAAAGTTTCAAAGTCAATAGACCATGACTGAGGGGGCAGGGCCAGATCTTCATGGAAATGAGATATGCCAATGCGTATTCAACTGCATACCAATTATCATGAACTTACCACTAGTGGTTCCCCATAAACTGACCTAGTCACAAACTAATACATGAAAACTAAGCAAAAATTTAAAAGTCAATAGACCATGACTGAGAGGGTGGGGCCAAATAATCTCCATGGAAATGAGATATGCCAATGCTTATTCAACTGCATACCAATCATAATTAACTTATCACTAGTGGTTCTCCATAAACTGACCTAATCACAAACTAATACACGAAGACTAAGCTAGAATTTCAAATTAAGTCAATAAACCATAACTGAGGGGGCGGGGCTAAATAATCTCCATGGTAATGAGATGTGCCAATACTAATACAACTGCATACCAAATATCTTCGACTTACTACTTGTGGTTCACTATAAACTAGACCTAATCACATTCATTGCTGACGCCGCTGTCGTCACCAACGCCAGAAACAGCATTCCTATGCCTCGCTTTTTGACTCCGTCAAGCGAGACAAAAACAGCATATATTTTTTGTAAAACATACATCAAATATTGGCTTACCAATCAGGCAAAAAATGATAACATCAATTTAATCTCCAATGATTTACCAAACTTACATATATATATATAAATATATCGTGTGAACAACTGGAGTGGAATATAATAGTTGTTGTTTATCATATTTATTTTTCGTTTAATGTCTTTTACATAAATTGGAATTGTATTACATCTGTCATTTCAGGACTTTTTATAGCTTGCTAGATGCAGTATCAGTTTTGCTCATTGTTGAAAGCTGTTCATACAGTGATCTATAGTTGCTAACATTCAGTCATTTTGACTCTGGTGGATAGTTGTCTCATTGGCAATAATACTACATATTCTCATTTTTATCAACATAAATTACCGTAATAATGAAAACTAACTCTATTCATGCATGTGTACTACACATTACCTGTATATATAATATATACTAGAATACTCCCGGGACATCATGGTGTCGTGACTGAAGCAAAGTACCTTAGCCTTATTTTTAGCCTGGATTTTAAGATTTTTCGTTTTGTCATCCAATAATGTCATGCTGGTCATTAGGTGCACAGTTTTCTCTGCTTTCAAAATCTTTCTTTTTGAACCCTTCGACCCAGAACTTGTTAATTATCTGTAGTAATAATTATGTGGAAAACAAATGGGCCTGGAATGGTGTAATTTTTAATCAACACCATTGTCCTATATATATAAGTTATAAATAAAGTTGAATTCTTTGAATCGTCATTTTTATGTCATGCCGGCTCACAAATTGGACCTTGTTATTTTAGTATTATAGATCTAGATTACTAAGTGCTTGTAGAAACACAATTCCTCATTTTTCAAGCCCCTTTCGTACATGTCTTAACCTCATTTAAATTACAATACCAACTAAAAGCTCCAAGGAGCCTGTGTCGCTCACCTGATATTTTTTTTATTTTACAATTGATGCATGAAATAATGCAACCGATATACTTTTGCTTTAGTTTCAAAGATATAAGTCAAAAACTGCATTTTTCCCCCTATGTTCTATTTTTAAACTAGATACCCTAATGCTTATTATGGCCAAGTTTGGTTAAATTTGTCTCAGTTGTTTCAGGAAAAGACTTTTGTAAAAGATTACAAAAATTTACGAAAAAATTGTTAAACTTGACATTAAAGAGCAATAACTCCTTATGGGGTCAATTGACCATTTTGATCCTGTTGACTTATTTGTGAATTTTATTTTGCTGAACATAATTGCTGTTTACAGTTTATCTCTATTATAATGTTCAAGATAATAACCAATAAATTGCTTTGCCGAGCGCAGCTGGATATGTCCACAGAGGTCCAACCCTGAACAGTTGGGGCAAATATGGACACAATATTCGCGCTTGATACAGGTCTGAATTTGGATTGCAATTCAATATTTGACACATAATAGGTTTCTGACACAGAATAACTGTAGTCAAAGAACTTACAATTGGTTATATGATTTGAATTTATATTCAAAATTTTGCTTTTGTGTAATACACTATGCTGTTGCAAATTGACCTCCACCCCCTTTTTTTCAAAAAAAAAAAAAATTTGAAGGATTTTCTTTTTGATTTTGATTTCTGAAATCTTGAGGAGAAAAAATTGTCCCCCCCCCCTTTTTCCAAAAAAAAATTCTTTCCCTCAGTTATGGTCATAATTTCAATTCAAATTTCGAAGATGTATTTGAATTACCTCCCTTACACTGTAATTTGTACTTAAAGTAATTGTCCATTAACCAGGACACCCTTGTTTTTTCTCACTTTTTTGCCCCCAATTCCTAAATGGTTTGAGCAATAATCCCCCGAAGCCAATCCTAACCATCTCTTTGTGGTATGGAAACTTGTAGTATAATTTCAGAGAGATCCATACACTGTTCCACAAGTTATTGTTATGAAACTAGAAAAAAATGCTTATTTGGGCCCCTAATTCCTAAACTGTTGGGACCATAACCCCCAAAATCAATCCCAACCTTCCTTTTGTGGTTATAAACCTTATGTTTAAATTTCATAGATTTCTATTTACTAATACTAAATTTATTGTCCGGAAACCAAGTGTCTTTGGGCGGCGACGACGACGACAAAGTGATACCAATAATTTTTTGTGGTCGTATAAAAATTGAAAAATAATTTCTTAAAATTACCAATTCAGGGGCAGCAACCCAACAGCGGGTTGTCTGATGCGTCTGAAAATTCAACAGAGATAGATATTCACCTGATGAACATTTTTACCCCATGTCAGATTTGCTCTAAATGCTTTGGTTTCAAAGATAGAAGCCAAAAACTGCATTTTACCTCCATGTTCTATTTTTAGCAATATTGGTCATCTTGGTTGATGGCCAGGGTCAACGGATACATTTTTTAAACTAGATACCCTAAGGATGATTTAGGCCAAGTTTGGTTTTATTTGGCCCAATAGTTTCAGAGAAGATTTTTGTAAAAGTTAACGGACGACGACGGACGCCAAGTGATGAGAAAATGATGCAATTAACAGCAAAAGTAGGCGAGACACTGGGTTCTGCGGAACCTTACAATTTTTGTGAAATTGCCTTGGAATTCAGTATTTTTGTTATACCATTTGGAAATAAAATACTGTAACAAATACATACCAGTTACATTTATATATACTGTAGCTATAGGATCTCCTCAATATCTAATCCTGTGGTTAATTTCATTTAAACATATAATGTATATAGCTTCCCTTCCACTTACATCTGAGGAGCTGATTCTGAAAATTAAAATTCCTGTGATTATCATATAAAATCTTAACCTGATGCAGTCTGCTTTCCAATAAGAATAAATTAGGAATACAGTTATCCCTTGGTAAAGAGAGAGAAAACAAGTGATATTTTTATATTATAACCAATACTGCACATGGTAATTGGAACATCACTAGTTTTCTGGATTGGATTGTTGCTCACTTTGTCAGGATCTTTTACAGCTGACTATATAGTATGGTTTTGTTCATTGTTGAAGGTCATACAGTGACCTAAATTTTTTTTACATCCACTTTGACTAATGGAATGTTTTCTCATTGACAATCCTACCATACATTGTAAGACCTTATTTATAAAATACTAAAATTTCAATCTGTGACAATAACATTATTAATTAAATAAGGTAATCTGATCAACATTATGAAGCAATGTTCAAAACACTCAGTCATTGTCTGACAGCGATCAAAGTAATTTTAACTTCTATGACAATGTACAATGATGTATATATGTGCAAGACTCAAAACTAAGTATTACAACTAAATTCATACATATATCCATATACATTTACAAGGTACTTAAAAAATCAGCGAGACTGACGCATAAAATGTAGGTAAAAAAAATATACTTTTGTTGGATCCTGCATCATAATTATTACAAGTTAATGAAGGCAAGTCATAATCATTGAGTACATGTACATTATATTTGAACTTAAAGTAAAGGATAATCTGATTAGTCTCTAATCAGTAATGAAGCCACACAACACTCTGTGACAACAGTGACATATAAGTCTCCCATAGATGCACATACTATTATTTTAGGTCTTTTGTATATATGTTTAAGGTTACTTAGAACTGGCTGTTGACATACATGTACACATGGACTGTCAGGCATGGAGTCATTGGACCCTAGGTTACTCCAGTCCATTATCAGTCACTATCAATAGTCAACTCCTCTGTCCATTTGTTGTAATACAATGTACAGCTGAAAGGGAGAAAACAGTATTTTGCAAACAATTAGCTTATACATTTAGGAGAATTCTGTATTTACCTAGTGATGTGACAGTAAACAGTCATGCTTCAGTGATTCCCCATATAATCAACCAAATTTTTACCACAAAAGGGGAGCCCCCCCCCCCCCCCCCCCCCCCCCCCCCTGGATCCGCCTATGGTAAAATCAAGTTTAATGAAGGCCAAGCTTAAAATACAATACAGTTATCTACTTTCTAATGCAGCATATTAAAATAAATACCATTTAACAAATATTTTGGCGTAAAATGAAATAAATGAAAAAGTCTGTGAAACTGTTGCATTGTCTTTAGCAACTAAACAATGTGACGTCCTATGCATACTCATGATGTCAAACATAAAATTCTAGAAGTACATTTTATTTATACCTTTCGTACGCTTCAGAATGGTTTCAATGTTGACAAAAAGAATGGAGGACCTTTCACTGGACTGAAAATTTCAAATAGTCCAGGACCTTTCATTTTTTAATGCAAATTTTAACCCCTGCATGTAGACCAATTTGAAAACCTGGCCCAAAATAAATAGACAGCTACACCAAGAGCACATGATACACCAATCGCTTATTCAAAGAATAAAGTTCAATAACTTTTCAATGTCATAATCAGACATTCATGAAAAACTAAAGGGAGGTTATCTTAATAGATATAAACCAGTCACCAAAGTTTCATGATAACTGCTCAAAGCATTGTCTGAAATATGAAAATCCCCCTTTTTTATGAATAAAATCACATAACTCTGAAACATAGAATCTAAAATTAATAAAAACCAAAAGGGAGCTTACGACAATAAACATAAACAATTCACCAAAGTTTTATGAAAACTGCTGTAAGCATTTTTGAGTTATTGTCTGAAAACTGGAAAATTTCCCTTTTTTAAATGAATATAACCCCACAACTTGGAAACATAAAATCTTAAATTTATAAAAATCGAAAGGGAGCTCATGTCAATAGATACAAACAAGTCACAAAAGTTTCTTGCCATTTGGTGAACACATTTTGAGTTATTGTCCCAAAACTGGAAAATCCCCCTTTAAAGTTTTTTAATGTTTTTTGGATATCAACAACTTTGTCAAACATACATGGAATTTTGACATGGAATTAGTTATATCTGCACACAAGAAGACACATTTGTATGTCATGTATGTGTTTTTTCTGCATAAACATGCAATTCATAATTTATTAAAACTTCCGACATAGTCTCATTGTGCATCTTTTTTTTATGCCCTTGTCGTAACGGAGGGGGCATTAAGTTTTACACTTGTCTGTCTGTACATCCTTGCATACTTGCATTGCGAAATAGGTTTTATACCCTTTTGATATATTGAATATTTTGACATTACACAGTCATACTCTTCTTAAGACTGCATGAAATGACAAACTGTGAAACATTGTTACACTAAATCTGTTGAATGTAAACTGATAGATATTTTAGTTTGGGAAAACATGTTTTTTGCACCTTTTTTATTATAAGACCTATTGATGAATCCAGTCCTTTTTGGCTAATTTTGAAAGTTGGTTCTTATGATGTTTGCTGTCTGCCATTACTGTATGTAGTTTATATTTTTCATCCTTGTAGGTTACTTTATGGTATCGATTTTGTTCATTGTTTAAGGCTGTACATTGACCAGTAAATGTTTCCATCTTTGTCCTTTGGTCTATTAATTGATAGTTGTCACATTGAGGATCATACCTCATCTTTTTATATTTATATGTTAGGTCATTGAAAAAGCTCCCAGGATACAACATAATTTAATTGTTATATATTTGCAAATTCATTCTGATAATGCAAAAACATAAATTGATTGACTTTTTTTCTTATTTTAATGTCCAGAGGCAAATATTTTATGTATTCTAAACGAGAACAACTTATCATGATCAATTCATAATATAGGCCAGTCTGACAATGCTTGTTTTGGACCCTTTTTGGTCTCTAATTCCTGAATGGTTTGGGCAAATACCCCCAAAATGAAACTTAACCTTCTACTTGTGGTACAATTTCATAGCAATTAAAATACTTATAAACAAGTTATTGTCCTGAATTTAGAAAAATGCTTGATTTGGGCCTTTTTTGGCCCCTAATTCCTACACTGGTTGAGCCATGACGCCAAAAATAATCCCAACCTTCCTTTTGTGGTATTGAACTTTTAAATCTAATTTCATAGACATTCATACACTTAAACTGAAGTTATTGTCCGGAAACCAAATGTCTTCGAACGAGTTGATAGCAATATACGACCTCAAAACTTTTTTGCTGTAGTATACTATATGGTTGTTCTTTTAAACATTTTCATAAATAATCTAAAAGAAATGTAGACCTGTTTGGGATTGCTTGCAATGCAATTTTCATTACATTAAACAATGTATATTTCCAAGGAATAACTTCTGTAAACCTAAATTTTAATAGCACTTACTTTCTAACTCATACATTTCAAAGTGACATTATTCCTGTATAAATTGCCAAATAAACGGATCACCGATGTAATAATAAATCTTAATTATAAATTTAATACTAAACAGAAAACAATGAACTTGCGGAAAAGATGGTATACCGCCAACAAAAGGTGCAAAGGTTTTATTCCTTGGTTTCCTTAAACTGACCTCATCAAGAATATCAACAATTTTTTTACGACTATGCCTCTATTGAAAACAGAATGCCTAAGTCACAGCTTCATAACTGTTGTGGCTAGACAAAAAAGAACAAGTGATTAAGAGAGCTTTGAATACAATTTTCTATAAAAATGACCTGTAAAAATAATAAATTTGTCACTTCTAACATGGATAATTTTCGAACTTGCCCACAACATTACAAGAATAAAACTTTAAACTTTTTGACCTCAAACTTTTAAAAAAATCTTCGAAACTGCATGTACAGAGTCTGACAAGAAAAAATTATTCAAACATAGTTATCATTTTCATTACATACCTCTCATCACAAAATTATTCATTGACTACTGCTCCTCATATGCACATAAATCAATAGGACAATCTATGACTCCACTATATAATCTAGAAAGCAATGCCTCAAATGAATTCTGTCCTGTTGCTTAGCTTCTCCTACTTCTCAAAGTAATTGTACTTTCGTTGAAAAAGCTAAAATAAATAATGTTTAATAAAATGAAGTTATAATACAATGTATCTGCCAAAATTGCCTTTAATATTTTGATCTGGCAAAATTGGCTTGCTTTGATCTTTTAAAACTAGACCAGCAAACTTTCCCTGAAAAAAAAAATGACTACAAAAAAGTATTTAATCATTTTATTAATGTTCCAATCCATCATATAAATTCCATATGACCCTTGAATGAAGGGATGAACAAAAGTGATTACATGTATATATTACAGGATCTCTGAATCTGTCATGATTTATAATGCCAATCTTTGGGGATTAAGTTATTAATAATCATGATACTTTGAAATTTTAAGTCATTCACAGTTGTTTAAATTACACCAAAAGTTGGACTATTTTATATAAGGTAGTATCTGAGAAATGGACTAAACCAGGCAAGGTTTGGTGGTAAATACATTGTACATGTACAATGTACTTTGTTTTTGGCTTTGAACTAGGTGTTAGTAACTGGGAGTACTCTCAGATCTGAACTTGGTCTTTTTTGTTGTGGGGATGTATAAGTACCCACCACGTCTTGTGTGTGGTTTTGTTAGATGTCTTTCTACTTTGTATAGATCTGACGAGTTAAGCCCTTTTCACATCAATATACCAGGTTAGGAGGTGGGTTCGGCACCACAAACTACTAGTCTAGCCCCACCCCATCCTGTACATATTTGTATCTATGTGCCTGTCCCATGTCAGGAGCCTGTAATTCAGTGGTTCAGTTTGTCGGTTGTTGCTGTGTATCATATTTTGTTTTTTTTGTTCTTTGTTTTGTATATAAATTAGTCTGTTAGTTTTCTTGTTTGAATTATTTTACAAACTTGTCATTTTCATTTGGGGTCTTTTATAGCTGACTATATGGTATGGGGTTTGCTCATTGTTGAAGGATGTACAGTGACCTATAGTTGTTAACTTTGATGTCATTTGATCTCTGATGGAGAGTTGTCTTTTCTCATTAGTGTAAACAAGATTTTATTTTGAAAATAATTAGGTTATTTAAACATTACAATATGACAGTTTTATTAGGATTGGAAAACAAGTGAATTTTCACTGACTTTTACCAATTCCTCTCTTTTCTCATTGGCAATCATACCACATTTTCTTATTTTTATATTTACATTACGTACATGTAAAGTAGATCTTTCATCTTCTGGAGGTGTCCGATTCCTAAGTACATGTACAACAGGGGGCCCTAATTAACAGCATGATTTTGAGTCGGCTAAAAAACAATCAGATAGATTATGATACAATTAACAGGTTTCTTTGCAATTATTTTGCAAATAACTAAGCTAATGCAAGAATAAAGTTATTTTCCAATAAATACATAAATTAAATAATAGTAAATAATGAATCTACAATTATATTTTAAGAAGTGACACATCATTTAAATTCAATAAATATCATATATTAAATTTAATTTTTTTTTTTAATTCTGGGTAGATAAGTTTTCATTTTTTTAAAGTACATGTAGGGCGAGTTGGTAGACCTTTATCTGTTTATAATATATTTATTATATATTATCATGATTATATTCATTTGGATTTTACCCAAGTTAGGCAAGTTGCCACTGTTGGCAGGAGTACATTGTATATTTAACAGGATTTAATCCTTTTCACAAGTGGGGCGATTTTTTTTAATGTGGGGCAAGCAAGTTGGTATAAAGGGAGCTACCACTTGATTTGGGGGGGGGGGGGGGGGGGGGGGGCTAGGATGAAAATGTTATCCTGCATTTTTTTAGTTGTAATATCTGTCCTGACATTTTATTATTCACTCTTTTCGGTCCTGGCTCTTATTTTTTTACTCAAATCTCCTGTCCCGCATTTTTTCAAATTCCGTCAAAGCCCCCTCTCTCATAAAAATCAAATGGTAGCTCCCTAAACAAGAGTGGAGCGATTTTAAAATAATGGGGCGTTTTGCCAATAGACTATCTTCCTATTACCGACTTTTGACTCCGGATCATATAATTTGTCGACTGGTTACCTTGGACATCATGGTACTCGGTCAAGTAAGAGCAACCAAAATAAGTAAAATCAAACATATAATCGGTGTAATTTGAGGGGAAAGTTTACTGTTTTCCGATGATTCTGTAGTGAAAAAAAATATTAACCAGGTAATTTTCCCCAAAAATTGTACCGATTGAAGGCTTGGTTTTACTTCTTTAGCTTGCTCTTACCTGACTTGGTACCATGATGTCCAAGGTTACCAGTCGACAAATTATATTATCCGGAGTCAAAAGTCGGTAATATGAAAATAGTCTATTGCAATGTAGTCTCGATTATCCAGACGCTCCATATGCATATGTAGAGTCTGGATCCAATCGGTTCGAATGATTGTGATGCGAAGGCGTGTCCAAATATGCAAACGCGAGCTGGATTTTTTTCGGAAAGTTTCTAGACTTGAGGTTCCCTTGCGGTAACACTAGACAAAAACAAACGGAGGAAGTAGCAATAATCATGCCTGGTGCCGGTTGGAAGCAACATCAAGAGCTACAGTTATGATAATGCCTTATATCTGTACAACACACACTCCGATTTCTGCACGGAAAATAACGTTGTATGCGTTACTTGTGCACAAAGTTTTGCAACTTTCAACTTGTTAGGATGAAATTTGAAAAAAAGGCAGGACAGGAGTTATGACTGAGTAAAAAAATGGAAGGATGAGACAATTTGCAAAATAAGGCAGGATGACAAATTATTTATGTTAAAATAGTCCGAATACCATAAAAAAAATCAGGACCTAATAGAGTGAAAAATAAAAAGGCAGGACAGAAATTACAACTATAAACACATGGTGCAGGACAAACTGGTAGCTTCTATAACCCCAAAAAATTACTATTATTATTGTTAAATGTACACAATTTACACAATGTATATATTAATATTATTATTATTATTATTATTATTATTACAGTTGCTTGAATTTTAGTGATTAAAATATGAAGAAAATTTCAAAAAAATAGTGGTATAGATATTTAAAAAAAAAAATCATATTTTTATCACTAAAATTCAAGCGACTGTGTTATTATTTATGTACAAACATGTTTAAAATTTATATAATTATGCATGTGTTAAATTTTTAAATCTTGGTCAATATACATACATGTATCTGAAGTAATGAGCATTTGTAAATATACTTTCAAATACTTCATTTATTAAAACTGCCTTTAAAGAAATAGAAAACTGCATTATATAACTCATGTACATGCATTACTTTTTTGTAGATATGTCTTTTTGTTGTTGACAGTCCCTTTACATTAAAGTTACAATTTTGTCATTTAAAGATTTAATATTTATTCCAGATCAATTTTGCACATCTTGAAGAGAAATTAAAACAAACAATGGAATGTAGTAAAGTGGACATTATACTTGATGAGTGCTGAATATGAAGATTTTTTGAACAGCGGTATAATTACTGCATGTTGCTTTTATTTGATAAATTTAATGATATGGTGAATCTATACTTGATTAAATGACTTTTAAATAACCAATAGAATTTCATATGGTCCTATCTTAAGTTTCCATAAAAACATTTAATATAATTTAAGTCTTTAACTTTTTTATTTAGACATATTTTATGAAAAATATAATGTTTTAACTTTGTTCAATGCATTTTGAATCTTTTGATACATCTCTCTTTAATTGGAAGAAGTAAAGCACCTAATTTATACACAGTAACCTTTTTGATTTTAGCTTTCATATGAACCTTTTTGAAGATCATTAAATGGAGCTAACACTGTTTGAAGAGATGTGGGGTCCCATGAGACAGCAACTCAACTACAAAAATAACCAAAGGAACATATCAACATACAGTTTTAACAGTCTAAACCTAATGCTCCATATAGTCAAATTCCAAGCAATTAAAAGAGTAAAAGAATGTGGGAATTCTTCAAATACATAGTGTGTCTCCAATTAATAAAGCAGTTATCTGATCTTGTGTCGTATCTTTTTAGGAAAATAAGATGCAGAGAACCATTCATGAAGTATATATATGATACTGATATTAACAATGTTCTCCAGAGCTATAACTCCAGCCCTTAAGATTACATTACACTACTATTGCTTGCTAATTCTACCATCAACAGCAGGAGAAGAGAGGAGATTCAGCACTATGAATGATCCTTGCAATTTGCTGTGGATGATGACTAAATCAAATTTGGATGCATTGATGAAATTCATATAGTGATGACAGTTATTTCATTGAACAAGAAAAAGCTGTAAATATTTTCAATGGTGCAAAACAAACAAGTTATGAACTATAAAATGATTAAAACTGTGTTGAGTTTTCAATTTGTTTAAAAAGTGACAACATTTACCTAATGAAATATAATGAACACCAAAGATGCTATTATTTGGATTGATTGTAAAGTTTACATGTCTGACTGGCATGTTTCATCTGCCCTTGAACTCATGTTCATGGGTCATTAGCCAGTGTAATGTTTCAAATGTTGGATCCTCTTCTAAGATACTATAAACAAAATGTCTATTTGGTTTATGGTATGATTGTAAGGTGTACAAGTCTGTCTAGCTTGGTTTATCTGACCTTGACCTCATTGTCATGGATCATTAATAATTTTTAACTTGTAATACACTTTTATCTTTAAGGCTAATAATGTAAATCATTTAAGTAGGCAACACATTTCAGCTTGTTTTAGACATCAATAACTTGGTGAAACTTTCTTAAATTTTTTTTCAAATCTTTAACAGAATTTTTTTATGATCAAAAGAAAGTATTCAGTGCAAAATATTTTATTTAATGTTGCTGTATTTTACTGATAGGGACTGAGTTTTTTGCAATTTTTATATAAACATGATAAAGATTACATTCTTGGGTTTATGCATAAAAAACAAGTCAAACAGTCCTAGAATGTAAAGAAACTTTGGCAGACTTGCTTAAAATTGATGTCTGGAAGATATTGTTTGAAGCAAACTTTACAAATATATCTTTTCATTGTTCAGTCTTTTCATTTTTGCAGTGAACATTTACATACAATACAGTCTGGACTTACATGTTTTAGACATCAATAACTTAGTTAATATAAAGGTAAGAAGATGTGCTTATAATTGCCAATGAGACACTAGGGAGCAAATGACATGGAAGTTAACAACTATATGTGACCATATGGCCTTTAACAATGAGCAAAACGTATATTGCATAGTGAGTTATTTAAGGCCACAAAATGAGAAATGTAAAACAATTCCAGAGAGAAAACTAACAGCCTGATTTATGTAAAAATAAAACAAAGAAATACAAATATGATATACAGCCACTGAATTACAGGCTCTTGACTTGGGACAGGTACATTCAGAATGTGGCGGGCTTAAACATGTTGGCCAGCGCCCAACCCTCCTTCTAACCTGAGACAGCGGCTTAACAGTACAATATATGAACAAACTATGAAAATCTGTTGATTAGGGCTGAACTCATATTGTATTTATACATCCCTACAACAAAAAAGAAACTAAGTACAGATATAATAGTACTGGCAGTTACTGACAGCTAGTTCAAAGCCAATAACAACTTGTAAAAAAATATGTATCTAAGACTTGAGTATCAATAAGCACACATCCAACATCCAATGGATTAAGTGTAAAGACGTCATTAACAGTAATTTAAGGCTGTGCAGCATCAAGTATAACAACCATCTGCATATAGGATAATAACAAGTTCGTGCCAAATGAATATAAGCACTGCTTTGTTCTATGGGTACACATTAGAGGGACGGATACAGCCATTTTAAATTGGTGGGTTCCATATGTTTCCATTAAAATGCATTGATCGTCCACAAAAAAGAGGTCTGGATCCGCAACTGCACCATATACTTATTCACATTCTGACCAGTCTCTGTGCCCTATACTTCCGTGCATTGATCTTCATCTATAAAAATGGCTGATAAATGACACTGGTGTGGTTTTCTTAATTGTTACAGTAAAAATTTTCACTATTTAATCTTTAGACTTATCAATGATGACATGAATTGCAGAATTTTTATGTATCGTGTCGATCTTAACGAGTTCATTTCCAACTGATTTCTACATATTCTAACTTTGTGATGCTTCAGCACTTTTAGGTAAGCTCTTATATGTGTGTCTTGCAAAAATGTCAATCAACAGCACGATTATGTACGCCATTAGCTAATGAAAGCTAGAAACATGTAATTCAGTAGTTGTAGAAGGTTGCTGCCTGTCATTTTTTTCTCGTTTATTATTTTTCGTTCATTATGCCGTTGGTCTTTCCTTTTGAATTTTTATACATTTGGTTATGTCAGGCCTGGTTTAGATGACTATACGGAAATGGTTTTGCTCCGATTGTTGAAGTGAAAGCCGTATGGTGGACTACAATTGCTTTAACCGACGTCATTTCATAGGTAATT